ACCCTCCTGAAGCCCACTAAAGTCAATAGAATACATCCACTGGTATCAATGCTCTTTCAGACAGAGTTTTCTAGAAGCAGAACTGGCACTTCATATCAGAAACAGGGATGTGTGGCCAAGTTCAGCTCTGTAGCTGAACTTTTTTTTACAGTCTTTATGTAGTTGAGCACAAAGTTAAGTTTTCTTCTCTCTGTGTCTCCCAGATCTTTCCCAAAGCCTGTGCACCGAGAAAGGATTTCAATGGTCTTTGAATCAGGGCATCCTATGGGTTTGGTCTTGCAAATGTTCCTCTGGCCATGCAGGTGTATGGTTGGGAAGGGGATAATGTGTGGAGATCTTAGCACAGAATCATTGTCACTGCACAGTACCATTGTCACTGGTTTCATGCGTGCCTTGCCTTTAGACCATCCACGCAGGAGCGTGCCTTCTTTATAAATTCCAGCCCAACTCACAGTGTGCTAATTAACATCCGAACAGTAGTAGCACAGAACAGTTTATATTTTGCTATAAACTCTTCTAATATGCAGAACCAGAGACCATGGCACTAGAGGATGAAGGATTATGCAGAAGAGATATAATTAATAGTTGCTGGAATCTCTTTTTTGGTCTTACTGTTTGTGGTGTTATTTGTTAGAGACTAAACGGAGCTAGTAACAAGATGTCATGAGACAAAAACCTTTTGGATCTAGTGAAAATATTGCATTGTTAAAATCAAAATGGGTCCCTTTTGAGGTTAGAAAGGAATGTGAGTTTCACAATTTCTTTTTTTAACAATCAGCAGACAGCCAGCTAAATCGTACTCATAAAATACCACTCTAGTTGGATCTGTCACAAAAATGAAGCATTTAATTGCTGCTAGAAGTGACAAAGATAAGCCATCCTCATTCCCACATGAAGAGCAGGAGCATCTGCCAGAAAAAGACTTTTTTTGGGTGGTTTTCTATATGTTACAAGAGTGAATTCAATTACAGGTAAAAAACCCAAAGCAAGTGACAAAGTAGAAGTTTAAATGATAATTAAGAAACCAAACTCTTGGAAATGCAGGATGAAAAGCTGGTAGCAGAAACTTGATTTAAGGGCAATTCTTTCCCAGCAAGTCCCCCCAGCCATGTACATATTCTGCTTTACTTCCATATGGAGTATGTAAAAAAAGAAAAAGTGCAATGGTTCACAGAGCTCTATTGTGACCTTTTAAAATAAAACAACCGTGCACTGCTACACTCCTGGAAAGGCCACTACTGAGGAAAAAAATTTACAAAAATCTCCCCCATCAGCCATGTTACGAAGTGTCTGCTAGAGGCTGATAGCTTCTTGGGCAAATTTCAGGGCAGCACACCTGGCTGCTGCTGCTTTGGACAAAAATGTGTACAGCGAGGTTCACGACTGCATGCGTGTGGGCATGCTTGTGGGAGGGAGCAGGCTTTTCCCAAAGCGCAAATGCTCGCTGGGCACCTCCTTGCCCCTGCAAGCTAAGAGAAGTTAGTTGCCTCACAGCCATCAGTGCCTTTGGAAAAGTTCCCTCTAATTCTTCGTCCCAGACGCATTGGCCTGAAAGTGTCCTGCTGTCTGTCTACACAAATTAGTCAGTCTCTGCATTCTTGTTCTCTACAGGACCTCTGGTGTTGGCTGCAGCAAAACCTTTCTAATATTTCATCTCTGCTTGTGACTCTCAGCTTTTTAGGGAGGCTGCACTTAGATAAGACACTGTCTGAAATACCACATTCTCTAGAGATGGATTCTTTTTGCTACTTTAATTCAGCTGACAGCGTGTTGTTGACTTTTTTGCAAAGTAAAGAAACAGCCATCTTTCTTTGCGTAACAGCTGTTTATATTTTCTTTTTTCTTTTATGATGTTTATTTAAGAGAGCTTAATGATTTATTTTCCTCAGGTTTCCTTGCCTAGGATTAGTTACTCATTTTCACTGAAAGTAAAATTAGGAAGGTATATAATCAAAAACGGACTAATTCTGTCATCTTTACACAGGCAAAATTCCCATGAACTTTGATTACTTGCTAGGAATTTTGCCTGAAAAATCTTCATATAATCAAGCACTTCATTGCTGCAGATTATTTTGAAGCCAAATGAGCACATACAGAATTCCTGCACACAGAGTCCAAAAATGAAGTGCAAGACACTCTTAGGTTTTAGCAGTTTTGAGATTTACTGTTTATCATTGTTCCCACTCCAGCCCAGGTAAAAACATTGAGCTGGATAAAAATAATTATTTTCTTGATATCCTGAGTCTTAAAACTTCTCAGTTTTCAGTTTCTACTATGAATTTAAGGACCTGCAGGGTCCAAGTGCTCTCTGCCACCTCTGCAGCTTCACCTTCTCCATGGACTCATATGTGGAAACCACTATTTACCCTGCCTCGTTTATCCATTTCAGATCATTTTTAGAAGTAATCTAAGCTCAGATGTAGATATACTGGCAGCTAGCTTAAAATATCTGGGACTTAATTTTCAGAGGTGTCAATCTCCCTAGCCTAAGATGAGGTCCATGGGAGACATGAGACTGTGACATCTCTTCATAAACAGCTCCTATGCCTGTGAATTTGGACATGCAATTCGTACATCCTTCTGAACTTCTTGGAATTTGTTGTTGAATCCAGCTAAAACTGGGCATTTTTAAGAGTGTCTATGTGAATATTTCCCTAGAAGTATGTCTAAAATTGCTGGGAGATATTTTAACTGTAATCCATGGGGAGCTATTGATGGTAATAAAAAATACTGTGAGAAGAAAACAGCAGCAAGTGAAACTGCCCTTTCAGAAAGCCCAGGTCTGCTTTGAAGGAAGTGTTGATATTCACCATAAGCCTCGATCATTTCCCAGAGGGCTGTACGGTGCCTTGTAATGACATAATCAAAAAGTAATGGTGTTCTGGATTTAAGGGGGGGAAAAAAAAAAAAAAGCAGGGCCTGATCCATCTCCCATTGAAATCAAAGAGGATTTTTCTACAGACTACAGTGAGAATAGATTTCTGGACACAATCTGTGTGCAGTTTATTTGCATATTTGCTTATCCAAATGCTCCTGACTTTAACCAATAGCATGTCTAGATGTCTGTCTGGGAGTGTGCCTGTACAAATGCAGAAGTGTGAGTTTATAGTGTGGTTTAATTGAAATTATTCTGGCACTTTAAAAGCATTTCCAGCTACAAAGGACAGCTTTAGCTGATTTCCACCCCAGAATATTGACTTTAATTGGTAAAGTTTGTAACTCACATTTCAGGCTGCAATTCATATTCAATTTCATGCAAGCTAAGGACACAAGAAGATTTTGAATTTGTGAGGTTAATTTTAAAATGATTTTACTATGCACTCAATTAAAATTTTGCAGCTGTTGTTTCAAAATGTGAAAAGCTCTACAAATTACCCAACTCATCAGCTATGGTCTTTGGTTTCCTTTAAGGGAAACTTCTTTGATGACCACAAGAAAATTGCAGTAAATGGCAAGCAAGATTGCCATCACAAGTCTGCTGAAAATACAGGATGAACTCCTGATTGCTTTAGTCATGTGAACAACCCCTTCAGAACAGCTCAGAGTCAGGCAAGGTGGCTTACACCAGGAGTTAATTTAGCCTGCTGGGACTCTTTGCATTACTAAAATGAGCATGATTTTGGCTTGCAAATGGGGGGTAGAATTTTATTTCACTTTCTGAGGGGCATACATCCATTTTAGAGTAAGCCTTTCAGAATAAAAGTTTACTTCACATTATAGGAAATGACATTCCTTTTTCAGATTTCCCTTTTCAAAGCATGCCTCAGATTTCTAACTTGTAGCAGAGAGCTTTTGTATAAGTAATAAAAGTCTTTAAAATTAAAATGCTAATCGTAAACAAACCCAAATGCATGAAAGATATAGTCTGACTGCATAACAAAAGAGAATTATATAATTATATTTGAGTGAAATCTTTCATCTTTGATTTACAGGTTTGAGTCTGCCTATAACTGAAACCATATTGTTCCATATCTTTCATATCATGGCCTTCCCCAAAATCTTGTTTTAATTAAGGTTCCTTTCAGATTTCAGAATAAAAAGCATGACAGTCTTCACTTATGGCTTTAATATATCTTTTGAGCTTGGAAAATACATAAAAATGAACATCACTTGCTTTTAAATGCTGAGCGAGCTATCAAATACTGCAAGTTGAATACTTCAAGGTATCTCCCAGGGTTCATTAGGTGAGAAAGTTGTAAACAAAATAAAAGTTGCTGTAGCAGAGTTTTGTTCATTTGAAGCAGTCTTACATACATGCCCTATCTCTTTCTCTGACGGTAAGGCAACACGTGTAACAGTTTAAGCGTTCATTATCAGCTAAAGGCACAACTCTACGTTACCTTTTTAAACATGAAATTAAACAGCTAAAGTCACGTTGCGGGGAGATCTTGCTGCGCTTTGGGGATCTAAAATAAAGCCTAAACCCTTTGAAGCTTCTTAAGCAACATCAGTTCTCTTGATACAGGACTACATAAAAAGAATCAGTTCGTATTCACATGGCGACCCATAAAAAAACACCCCCAACACAACCTCCACAGAAACACCTGAGCTTCGAATGAGCTGCACGCAGTTATGGAAGATCACTGCTCTTAGAGTTGGGATGCAGAAAAGTTTCAGAACAAACCAAAAACACATTTGAAAAGCCATCCATTTTTCAGAGACTACATGATCTCTGCTGCACATCTGGTGAGAGCTACTGTCAACTACGGAGGGTACAGCACTTTTCTTTAAAGGCAGAAGAGCGTTCATTTTAGAGAATCGTGCATGTGTTTTTATGATAGAAAAGATTACATAAAATAGCAAGGGGTGGCTGGGAAAAGAGAAAAGAAAATAAAGCACCACCAAGCACAGTACTTGGGAGGATTTATAGTACAATAAGAAGTGCTTTCCCTTTAGCTAAAATCTCTCATCGTAATTTATACACCTTTCACTTATTCAGCTAAGAACTCATTACAGGGGCTTAAAAAATGGCACATAAAATAGATCTGCGTTTTTTGTTCTTTTCATTACACAGAGCAAATTAAAAAATTCTATTAACAATTTAACTCAGTATGAAAAATTTACCCAGTAAAAAGTGTCAGAAGGTGATTCTTGGAGTTTACCGAGTATTTTGCCGGCTGTTGCAATCCTGGTGTCTATAATCTATCATGTAGAATTTTGTAATACTCTATTTCACAATTTATGTTGGTGAGTGGGTCAAACAGCATATAAAAAGCATGCTCTAGGCTCTTTCTCCCAAGCCCGTTTTACTGTAACTCTAGAATTCTAGCGGTTACATTTAAGGAATCTTTAGGGCCCTTTCAAGTCCATCCAAAGAACAAGTGAAGCTGTTATTCAGAGTTTTGTGCCCAGTGTTTATGTTCCATCTGATCTGTGCCACCCAAGCAGCACACAAGACATGTCTGAGGGTGCTTTGGGGGGATACACAATGATGTCACCCACAGGAAATATCAGGGAGGACTTGGCACTTCACAAGGCTGGCTCTTCTTCCATGGGCTCGCCAGCAGCTCTGTAAAAATAAACAGGCAATCAGAATACGGCACAAGAGTACACAATGACATTGTAGATTTTCATGCATAATCAAAGCTGATTTTTCAGCTCTCTCTGATGTTTATTTGTGTTATTCAGTTGTCCATAAATAGAGTTTCTTTCCTAGGAAGTATAAACAAATGTCAAGTGGAAAAACATTTTAGATCCAAGCAATCACTGAAAATGTTCCTGTTTATATTAAAATATGTCAGAATATTTTATAAGTTTTTGTCCAGAAATGTACATGCTTTGTGTCAACAGAGTCAAATAATTTCATGAAAAAAATAGCTGTGATACTTTTATTTTACAAGCTCTTGCAACTAAAAATATATGCATTTATTTTTTCAAGCGGGCCCATACCATTAAAGCAAAATAGCTCACTAGTAGCCAAGTAGTTAGCAGTGTTTCTTCTGGGGTTGTTCTTCAGTTTTCTGATTTTTGATTCTGTGCTTTCACAAATGCATCATCTGCCTGCCTGCTTGCAACTTCTGACAGTAAATACTGAATGCAGATCACTGTCATAGAGAATGTATCTATTAATAATATCAAATCAGATTATACCTATATCTCTTACTTGAAAGCCTCAAGGAAATACTCTGTTTAGGCAAGATGAGGGCTTTAAAACATCCAGTAAGAAAACATTGGGGACACATGTTGTGCTGGTATAAAGTATCTAAATTCCTTGTATCTGACAAACCACCACACCTGAGGGTTATGCTGGCAATTATAAAATGGGAAGCTTCTGAGATCACAGTGAGACCTCACTGTTGGAGGGCGTAAGAATGTGAACATAAACCTTTTTGTCTCTCAGTGTGGCAGAATACCATCTGACAAATGAGCTTAAGACCTCCTTAAAAATAGCTACTTCAAGAAATGTTGAAATGGGAGGAGAGCAAAAAAAAAAAATGCAAATTAATAAATGAGATGTTTATCGGCTAAATCTTGTAAGCCAGTATAATAACTGGCTTCAGTAAAACATCCCTCAGAAAGTACAAACTCAAGAGATCTCATGGAAAAAAAAAGTAATTAATGGGGGTTTGCATGGGATTTGGTAGTTTATTCAGCAAGGAAGCCAGAGAATTTTAAATGAATCTGGAGTTCATTAAAGTCTTTACCAATGAAAAATTCAGCGTTGTGCCTTTAAATGATTTTATACAGGTTATTCCTTTATGATTTGGAATGATCACAGCTAGCATGTTGAAAAACATGTCAGATTAATGATATATGAAAAAGAAGATATTTTTCACGCTAATCACTTTCCAAAGGGTTGTTGACCCTAAAAGATTATTAATCTATAAATCTCAAATCTTGTTCCACACCACACAGTGGAGGATGCTTCCTATGTACAGTAACCACTGCAGCTCCCTCACTCCCAAGAGATGAGGTGAAGCCCTCTTGCATTCCCTCTTTTTCCCCTCTTGCATTGCTCTGGCTTGCAGCAGAGATGGCTCAGTGGCAGCTAGGGTGGGATGGAGCCCAGCCTGCTGCTGAGGTCCTCGGGTGTGACAAAGGATAATTCACCAGGTGGGGAATTCATGCTGATGGTGTATGTTGCTGTTGTGCTGACCACAAACTTCCATTTTCTACAGCCACATTTGGAAGACCTCTATATCCCCTGGCATAATGCAAAAGTGCAGTAAGCCCTTGTTAAACGTCCAGAAGATTATCGTAATGTCTGGGAAGAAGGTAATTTGGAAGCAGATAACCGTTCAGGTTTTAGGTTCTACCGTGAGTGAGCGAATAAAAGAAAATAGTTGTCAATAGGTTTCACCTGGAGATTGGCAGAGAAGGAGGGAGTGAAGCTCTCAAAAACCTCTGGAAGTGGGATTTTGGGTTATTTATAATGATCTAGGGAAGCAGTATTTGCAATAGTCTGTTCATATGTATTTGGCTTCTGGGACTGACATTCTCATCACCACGGTACAATTGAGAGATGATCTTATTCAGGGTTTTAGTCCTGGGCAATTTTTTATTTATGAGGGTGTTTCTGAATGCCAGGACTGACCCTGAATTCTGTATTCCAATATGTTCCAACAATATGCCAATATTCTGCATCAGACAAAGCCTAAACATCAACAGAAATTTTTATACGCAAGTGTCAGATGTAAGGTTCTTTTTGGAAAAGGAAAGGAGGTTAGGGTGCCCTAGTGAATCCAGCTGTTGTCTCTCAGTGTGGGTACTCTTCTAGCTCTCTCCAGTCTCCTTTTGAAGTCTTATGTGTATGCTATAACTTCCTTTTATTAGTGTCAGAGAAGTCACCGGATCTATGCAATGACTTATCATTAAAAACATGCATTCTTATGAGATAAACGCTAGGCCATATTTTTGTGTGAGAGACGGTAAAGTTTTAGGGCCCTTAGTATGGAGAGAAAAACTCTGTAGTCCCATAACACTGAGTGGTGAATCAATATATACACCCATGCTGCTGAAATCAAACGTTCTCAAAAAAGAAATCAAGGGGCCAGAGTCTGCCAGGCCAAATTTATGTCACTTCAGTTATGTCACTGTTAGTTACATCAGTCCAGTCAGCCTTCCTGTAGCTGACAACATAAAAACATAAAACAGGCAAAAAACTCCATCGCGTACTGTATGATCTGACTGGTTCCTCGGAGATGCAGTTGTGAGCTCAGGTCTGATCTGGATCGATTCTGTGCGGTCAGGTGATACCGAAAAACACTGGGGCTGTCATGACTGTAGAACCACAACAGTGATTTTTCATTAAGGCTTCACTGTGGCTCATTTAAACTGCAAGTTCCTAGAAGCAGAGGCTTCTTGCACTGGCTCTGTTTATTTTGGCGTGTTGGAAAGAGGGCTCGCTCATGGGTCTCTGTATGTACAGTTCATACTATGGCGGAATGAAGTAGTCTCTACAGTTAACACTAAACAAAATGATTCCGTTTAAACCTTAAAAAAAAAAAAAAATAGATGAGGCACAGATCCTACCATATGGATAAAATCTGGCAAAACATGTGACATCTTAAGTATTGTTCTGTGGCAGTTGAAAATAAATGGCAACTATGTTATTTAAGAGAATATTATTTAAAATAGTCCATATCAACACTTAAAAAAGAAGAAGTTAACATTTAAGAATATAGATAAGCCTTGTACATCATCCAGAAAAGTAAATGTTTCTCTTACCTTATTTTTTAAATTAGAATTACAGAGATTCCTTCTAGCTACATCATCACACACATAAAAATAAAAATTCAAGGTATGTTTCCAAGTCACAGAAACTGCTGAACAAAAAGAGATTTTCTGGTGTGGTACGGCTGTTTTATACCATAATCTGTTCCTAATTTAACTCAGCTGTCTCAGGGAAGATCACTGTAATTGAAAAGCAATCGTAGCAGAGAGTTAGGGAAAAAGAGGTACATTTCTGTGGCATGAAGATGATTCGGAGGGTGTCTAAAGACATCATACAAGAAAACCTGCGTAAGACTATATCCTAGTAAAAATGGACTTTGTATGGATCAAATAAAAAGGAACTAAAGGTAAACCCTATCATAGTTTAAGGGCAGAATAATGTAACTATGCATATAGTTTCAAAGAGGAAGTAATGTCCACATAAGGCAAATGAAATAAACTCTGGCAAGTTAAATGTAAACCCTCAATAAGGCAGGCCAAAGGAGAGTCTGAAGAGCAACATGATAAAGGCATAAATGCTAATAATAAAAAGAACTTTTAAAATACATCAGAAGATGTGATCAAAGCATAAAAAGAGCATCAAGGAACATAGACCACAAAAGCAAAATGAACTATTTATATCTGTGTTCACTAGAGAAGTGTCAGGGAGCTTTTATTATTTGCAGATGAACTATCTGCACTAGAACAAAATGATATATTAAACATTACCAATTGTTAAAAGCAGATGAGATTTGTCCACTGAGTTCTGGGGAATGCAATTATGATGCTGCTAAAGAAATAATTATTGAGCATATTCTACTGTTTAACTCAGCATCCATACAAGAGGTAGAGAAGGTAAGAAATGCAATTCCCCTTTTGGAAACTATAGGAGCTAGAGTAAGCCCATATGGGGAAACTGAAAACAGGTATAATCAGTGATAGAACTGGTAGGCATTTAGGTAATGTAATTTGTAATTCGGTAAAGAGTTATGACTTAACACTTGCAGAGGAAGAAAGCCATACAGATTTATTAGAAATTTCTGAAGGAAATGAAAGAAGAGGGATCAAGTGATATCCTTGTGCAAAGAAAGTCTTTCAACCACTTTATCCAAACGCTATGAGGAACTTACATTATAAGAGAAGGTCCTCTTATAGGTTAACAATCCATTGAAAGTAGGAAATGGATAATAATATTGGTGAATTTTTCACCACGGAGGGATTCTCTAGAGCATCTTCAAAGGTCTTGGCAGACTACCAGTAGATTTAGGTGGTAGTGTTTGTTGATGATAGCAAATTACCCCTGCCAGTCAGTTCTGAAGCCCACAACACCCCTTCTGTGTGGAAAAGAAGGTAAACAAACACAAACTAACACACAATACACAAAATGGGGAGGGGGGAACAGCTTCAACTGTTCATACACAACGATGGCTACATGTGGGATCTTGGAGCTAACGGTAGAACAGCAGAGAGCAACAGAAACAAGAAAAAATGCCCTACATTAAGCTACTGTGTAAATCCATAGTATGCCCAACACCTGGAGTCCTGCATGCAGTTCTTACTCCATCTCAAACAAAACTACAAAAGGCACAGTGAGGGGCAAGAATCATCAGAGGTAAGAAATTATTTTCATACCAGGAGGAATACAGGGTCTTTAGACAGTTGAAGAGTTTAACATCAGAAATGGGGAAGAGATTATGAGTAAGAAAAGAGCTGCTTTTATTTCTCATAATGCAAGAACTAGGGGTTCCTGAGTGATTTTATCAGTTCATAAGTTTAGAGCAAAGAAAAAGAAGTGCAGTGCCTGATGAGGCTGTGGGCTTGACTACCTGAGTGCCAGAGGTCTAAGCTGATTCCAAAAAAATCTTTGAAAAGTTTATTTCTGGGAAGGTATCCTGAAGACTTTTGCAAAGGATGGGTCTGATACAGCTGTTGAGATCTACCAACTCATGAGGGCAATGCTGCCTCTCAAATTCCTCTGCTTCTGATTCTCTTCCTTATGCACCCATCACCAGGGGATGAGAGAAAGGTGGCAAGATGAGGCTGCAGTTTGACCTGAGGAAGGTGTTTTTCAGCTCCTGACCCTGGCTGAGATTGCAGATCCTGTGGGGTATGGCTAGGTAGGTGCAGGTTACTCAGCACAGCTGAGATGGGTACCCAAATAGTGAAATGCTAAGTGAAGCTTTATGAGTTGGTATACAAACACAGCAAGTGACCCTAGCTGATGGCAAGCTGCACCCCATGATCCAACCAGTTGCTCTAGTATGTAATATAATGTATGTAATATAATGCAGTGTGACTGAAACTGCAACTGGTAGCTCTGTAACACTGAGTAGTATCTAAAAAATACACTTTGTTTTCATTTCCATTTGAGCAAAATCTATGCTCAGCTGAATGAGGGTCATAAAGTCCAGTTCTGATAAATGTAATTCTCAGGATTTACTGTTTGTTGTAAAAATAGTAAGTTCAAGAGATCTTCCTCCACAGACATATATTTTTCCATTTTAAGAAGAAATATACAGAAGCTCTAATGTGTTTGGGACAGCAGGATACTGAATATTTTCATAGAACGATTTCTGAAATGCATGTCTGGCCAAAACAATATTCTAATCAGCAAAATTTGTATCTTGTGTAGGAAATAAGCAGTTACCAAGACACAAAAATTGTGGTAGTTAGAAATGTTTTATAGGTCATGCCTGTTCCTTTAATTGCATCTGTATTTAAATCTGTGTTAGCATCATGCATGTTTTCTTTCCTATCCACAAACCCTTTTTTCTATATCTGTTCTCTTCTGAAGTCTATAATCAAGTTTCAATTGGTTCTTAAAATGCAGAGTTGTGCTTTGGTAAAATAAAACACCGAAAGCGTAGCAGCTTTTCACGGTTTTCTTCATTTAGCCTGCCAGAGAAAAATCAAATAAAAAAATAATCGGCACTGTCACTTGAAGAAAAGAAAGAGAGAAGAAAGGAAGAGAAATACTTAAGATGGGCCTTAGCCAGGAGCATTTTATCCTTTATTCATCAGTGGTAAATGAGTCAGATATGAGTTGGCCAGGAAAAGAGCTGCTTTACCCAAAATCTGAGTTTGAAGTGAGTCATCTCACTCCAAACACCAATATATCCTGCAACATAACTGGCAAGAGTTTCCTGCAAAGAGGGTCTTGCTGCCACTCTCTTCATCTGGAGGTCTGACCATCCAAAGCTGAAGTCAACAGGATCTCTACCATCAATTCAGTGAAACAGGATTAGAGATGCCAGCCAGAATTATCAGCCTGCTTGAACATAGTGGGAACTAAGGGAAAGTAAGTCAACTCCTGGCATGATGCAGGAACCCTTCAGGCTGCCCTGTCAGCCATGGCACTTTCTGCTCTGACCCCTCCCCATCTGTCACAACCAACTTTCCCAAAAAAACACTCAATGCAAATGCTTGCAACAGGTCTTCAGAAGGTGATCTCCATCTACAATGAGGGGAGGAAGAGCACATCTACAGTGGCCTTATCAAGGGGACTTAATACAGCAAACACAACATGTGAAAAAGCAGCGCTGGACTCATCACTGCATTACAGCAGTTGGTGTTGGTATGTGTTTATGAAATAAACAACATTTTTTGTGAAATGAAGGAAATTATACTGGTGTGAAACCACAGTGTGCAATGTCAAATCAGTCCCTGGATTTACGATCCCGTCCTGGACTTTCATTCATGCTCAAAGTGCAGCCAGGTCCTCTCAGGTCTCCCCACAACTCACAGGACCCTCAAAATCAAGACCTTCAGGGTGACCAGTTTTGATTCCATATTTCTCCTTACATTCATCAGGAAGAAAACAAAGAGAATCGTGTCCCAAAGCCTCAGAAAACCTAACTATCAATTTTGGCCCAGTGGGACAGCACTTATGTTGTCCTGTCGCTTTCTGATGGCAATCTGGCTTCGGGAGACTTCTTTGTGGGTTACAAATGTGGAAACAGACTTAGGAACGCATGCGTGCAGAGGGCTTTTTTTTTACTGCTGAAAAATCTCTGCAACACCACAGAAGATATTTCAAACGAAGCCATTTTTTCCACAGAACAATTCATCACAACAGATTCACCCCTGTAAGAGCCCAGAACTGATGAAGTGTAATGAATCTGGCAGCCACATGAATTCCACTTGCGTACATTTCAGCACATCCTTTTTTTTTCATTTCTCTGAGCTCCGCCCTGAAATTCTGTTTTCAGAATGGGTGGAAACTGTCACAGGTTATCAGAAGGTAGGTAATAAATACAATAATTAAGTGCAGAGCTAGTCAAAGGGTTATTCTGTTAAAATCATGTAGGATCAGCAGTTGCTCTCAACGGCTGTAGTTTTGAGTGGAGGCACATAACAAATAAAATTCTTGGTTATTCTGAGCAATGTAAAAATACAAAAAATTGACCATACCCTTTTTCAGACAATTTAAAGCTTTGCTTTTTTTGACTGCATTAGTTCCAACACTTTAAAATTCTTTGTATTTCAGAGCTATGCACACATGAGCAGGCACTTTTCTGTCCCTGGCTAGGAGACATGTCTCGTAACTATTGCAAATGTACATGAGAAACCTTACATTATATCATAGCTGAGAAATTATTATCACTCTCACAGATCTAAAATATGCCTCTTGTTTGTCTGGATTCTTCCCTGAACTTTTATGGATTAGTTTCTAATAATACTAGCTCAACATAGCCATAGCATATTAAAATATAATTACAATTGGAAAGGTAATTATGTAAATGTTACAAACTTTACTAGCTAGCTCTGCTCCTGATGTGTCCCTTTGAGCCATCTCTGTTAAGTCACTGACAGATGAGCGCTCCCAATGACATGGGAGACATTCACTCCCTACCGCACCCATAACTCTTAGCACTGTGCTATTCCCCATGGATGCCTATCAATTCAGTCCTGATTAAAAAAGACAATGCAGGAGGCAAGAACCAAATCAAACAAGTAGCTGTCACAACGCGGGAGCCATGGATCCTCCTGGCTTCACTCCCACCACCACTCACCCACAGCTCCCTCCTTTCTCTCCTGTTGTCACAAAGCTCTGCTCCACAGCCCGCAGGGAGCTGATGAGTCTCCTTATAAGGCTTTTTTGTCCTTTTCTCCTCCCTCCCCTATTTTCTCTGTGTGATGGAAACTGAATGGTTCCACTGCATTTTGGGTCTTCGTCTATTGCAGAAGGCCAGGAAAGTTTGTCCTTAAAACAAATAAATGGGAAACTCGAAGAACTTCTGTAGCAGATTATTGACTCCTAATGGCTTGTTGAAGAAATATTGTTTTGTCGATGACACAGTATTCAGTGTCTATCAATTTTTTTCATCTCTAATTAACAAAACATCCAACAGCAGTTACTGTATCATTTTCTCAATTTGTGAAATTGAAAGAAATCTTGATGAATGTAAAAAAGCAGCTGGCAAGCTGGAGAAAACAGCATTCTCATTTTTTGCTGGTGTACCTTCAGCTTGGTACACAGAAAACGTTTGCCCTGATCCTGGTCAGGATTGCTTTAAGTTTTATACTGGCACCATTCCATTGCTTCCAGGGAAGCAACTTTAAATGCTTGTCTAATACAATTTAATAATAATTTAAGTCCATCCTTATTAAATTTATCTGATTGTGTGTTAAATGCCTTCCTAGAAAATTAAAACTAAACTGGCTTTGAATAGTTTCCAGTGAGAAGAATATGGTTGATTATACTTGATCATGTTTGTTTTTCCTCATATGGATAATGGACTTTTTATATAGCAGAGAGAATTACACATGGGGGGAGAAAACAAGGTTCTTGTAATAATCATGACCTTTAGTAAATAATTACACATGACAAAAAAGTACCTGTTAGCATAGAATACCTCTGCTTCCAGTGACCAAATGAGAGAATTTAAATCCAAGGATGAGAACTTTCAGCTACCTCAATTAGCAGATAATTTTGAAACAACGCTTGGTCTAGCAGTCTTCATCTCACCTGACTGGAGTCAAAGTCTTGTTCTCTGTAATAATTGCATATGCTTACCTGCTACCTTCCTGAGGGATACACTGCTCGACATCCACTGAAAGAGAGGCCAGAGCAGACACCGTTTCTGTCTCCTCTCTCTCTCGTTTCTGAGACTCAGCCAGCGCACAATCCACTGGCACAGAGTATGGCTCCACTGACTTCCAGTACCTGCCTAAAGAAAACACACATAATAATTTATCGGAATTTTAGCTAGCATGGTGGTGCAAGCATAGTAATCACTTAGTTCAACATTGGGTGATTATAATTTAAAATCACTGCGGTGTAAGCAGTACAGTTGAAATTTCAGACTGCAGTGAAGAGGTATATTTCTGAACCTAAGAATGTAAAGTTGGAAAGTGCTTTCATTCCAAGGGCTGTGTCACACCCTTCCCCAGAAGGTAATAAACTGGAGGAGTAACACACAGGCTAATGAACTCATACTGTCAGACAAGCTATTGGCTTTATCTAGGCAAGGTGAAGGGAGTTCAGGTCAGGGTTAATACCTAGAAGATCTGATATGGCAGACAGTTGATGCATATACAGAAAATAGGACTAGAAAAAAGAACATTGTCATACAAAGTGCTCACACAGCACTGTCTTGAAAAGGAAAAAAGTCAGAAATGCCAGCTCGGACTGAAGTAATGTTGCCAGAACAATCAGGTTTGTTAGTCCTGGATGTTCTTTCTCCTCCAACCTCAGGGCGTATACTAGAACAATAATTTATTTTAAACTTTCATATATGAACTGGCTGTTGCTGGAAAGCTGCCAGATATAAGGAATAGAGCTTTCTGGTTTGCTGTGTAAAAACACAGCAGTGGATTAAAAGCATGAGTATTCTCAGCTTTCTGCCTGCAACAGAAGAGACAGTAAGAAGCTTCTGGAGCAACAGGAAAAATAATGGCAGGTGACTCATTGTCAACATACAAAATAGTCTGCTACTGCAGTGCTATTAGGCAACAGAGGTTGATTAGTGGTACCCAGGTGAACAATTAAGAATTTACATATGTATTTCTTACAGTCCAGTAATCCAAGGAGAACTCACTAATTGCCAGGTGGATGACACCTGGAAATTCAGAGCTTTGGGGAGGCTGGGAGCTCTGGACCAGAGCTCATTCAGTGTTTAGCAAGAAGCTTCCAGCAGCTGCTGCAGAGGTTGGGTCAGGGTACTTATCTGGGAATTAGACAGAGGGTTTCAACAGCTGTGAAAGAGAGGGGATCAAGCAGGGGACTTTTCCGAGGGCTAAAAGGAGGATTTTGGCAGCTGGTCAGTGGGCTGAGTCGAGGTGCTTATCCGGAGGGTAGCTGGAGGCTTTGACAGCTGGGAGGCCAGGCCAGTGGTGGTGCTGCCTGCACTGCACAAAAGCTGCTGAAAACTCCCTCTTTGGTAACACAGCTCTCAACACAGTTTCAAGCTTTTCGAAAGATGAACTTTTCCCTCCAGTGAGAAAGCAGCTGTCAATAAAGCCTGAAAATGTCTTTATTCAAAAACATGGTTGCAAGATGAAAGCCCAAGTCAATGTGCAAGAACAACCAGCGAGCATGGCCAGCATGTTTCTTTGAACTCTAATAGTGTGCACGTTTGAGTAGTTAGCAGAATCTTTAAATAACAGGGACCTTCTGGGGATAAAACGTAAAGTGTATTAAGTATCCTACAAAGTTGAGATTAAGTGTTAGGAGGTTGGCTTTGCTCCAAAAGCATGAAAGACACAGCTAAAAAGTTATGTATATTACAGTAGGCTCAATGATTGGAGCCTGGCAAATTTTATAAAAACAAGACAAAAATATTCTCTATTATTACTGTGCTCAGAGACCATATTCTCTATTCATTAAAAAAATACACTAAAAACAAACAAAAAAAAGTTATATGAGCATTCCACAATGTTCTCACAGATCATATGTGCAAAAGTCAGTCTCTGCAATATACACCCAATTCAAACCCTATAATTTATGAGCTAAATGTTCACAGATTGGGTGGGGTTTTTGTTGCAGAAACAGATGTGCAAGAAAATCAAGTCTGTTGGCATGGGAATAATACCCCCTCTTGCCTATAAAAGAAATGAACCCATGTTCACTGCTGGAGTTTTCAAGGGCTCTTATTCATAAAATAAAATATTAGTAACCAGCTACCACTGTGTTGCTCTCCTGCAGCAACAATAAAACAGCATCAGTGAGGATTGCTCCATCACATTCATTCATTCACACACATGCTCACACACCAGCTGCCCCCTGAATCTTGACTTTCTTGTAATACTAAAACTCAGGGCCAGTTCAAGCATATTAGTGGGCTCTCTGTGCCCACTTAACTGTCCTCCACTCCCAAGCGATCTGTGATTTTCCATGTTTCCCTGCACTGAGGATTGTGTTATGCAAAGGACTTCAGCAATAAAGAGGGAGAGCGGAGTGAAGCCAGGAAGCAGGTGGCAGCAGCTATGCTGCAGCAGAGGGTCTTGGAGAAGGGGAGTGTGTGGCAGGGTGTTTGTGGTTTGTGGAAGGAAATTTTAAAGCAGTCCCAGTTAGGAATAGCATCCAGGTAGTAGAGGGTACTTCATACAAAGAGGATTTTCTGATGCTTGTGAAAAAGCAATGGTAGATTTTTCTTTAAAAGCAGAAAGCTGTAGCTTACAAAATCTGTGGTAAGCAGAACAGCTTTGCAAGCTTCTTTTTATGAAGAACATAATTTATATGCTATGCACAAAACATACAGGTCTTGCATGTGTGCTGAACCAAAAGATTGCAAAGTCTTGTGGGACGGAGAGGCAATCACATGATGCAGCTCCAAAGGAGCTTTGTTAGAAACCCTAGGTATGCTTTGGATTGACAATTAAATGAGCTCAAAAAGCATCTGCTTCAAACTGCTCACATCTCTGAATATGTAATTTCTACTGTGCTATACTGGAATGTGAAATTCTACCAGTCCTGTAACATTCATTGAGAAGAACGTGGTGGAGCTCAGGGGGAAGAATAAAGCATACTGCTGATTTCATTCATACAAAACTTGAAGACGGCTTGCAAGAACAAACAATGAAACCAAATCAGTCTTCTAGGTATGCTTTGGCTTTCAGCATGAAAATGTGCTTAAGTCTCCCTCAAAGATTTGTAGGAACACTGATTATTACCAGGAAATAATAAATGTGAATGTTTCTGTCACTGTTACAGGCATTTGTAATTGCCCTTCACAGATAGATTTTGACATGCCATACATGGCTTGCTTAAAAAAAAAGTTAGTTTCAGGGTGGTATTCAAGCTAGTGAACAGGATTGTTTAGAAATAGCATATTACATGGGTGTGGGAACTACTACTTCCAAATGTATTACATTTCCAAAGGAGCTTTGGATCACTGTCACAAACAAAACATTTATACAAATTCCATTGTAGTTAGAAAAAAGTTGTTTCCTCTTGTTCCTTAGTCCTTTCCTCTAAGTATTGTATCTTCAATTTTTTTTGCAGCAAACACAGAGGAGAGACCTTTTTTTGGTCTAAAATATTGCTAATACTCATTATTGAAGTTGGATCACAGAAATACAGACTCCACATACATGCAAAAGCAATCATCCAAATAAACCAGGCTTTCTCAGTATCTCCTGAGGTGTTACCCCACAGCCGAATGCTTTTCAGCCTGCATAACTCCCTATAATATTCATCATGTACTTGCTTCTTTTAATTCCATCTAAACAGGCATCCCCCCATAAAGCTACACTAAACTTCCTCAATGATCCTTTCCATCATCCAAGCATATTCCTCTCTAATACTTGGTTTCTCTCTCTCCAGACAAAATTATGTTTGCCCAAACCTTTAGGTAATACCTGCAAGAAAAGATAGAATATTGTGCATATATAACCCCAAACCCTGAGCAGCCCAACTTAGGTTTCGGAACAGCCTACTGGACTGCTGTGACTGTACCAGGTCAGCTGAAACCTAAGCTTGTTCTGAACAAGCAAAGTTAAGCCACTCTGCACAGCTCTGAACTGTTTTTAGACACACACTATATTTGTTCCTAAATCCATTTCTTCTTTCTGAACTGCCATAATTTCTGTGTATTTCCAGGAAGACACTATGCCTTTCTGGAGGCAGTATTAATTTTTTTTTTCCTCAATTCACTTTTTCTTTGTTTCAGATCCATTTTCATTAAATATGTCTTATTTCAAACAGAATTGCATATTCTTTCTTAACGTCTGTGACCTGTGTGCAGCTTTCTGTCCTTATTATCATTTGCAAATCTGCTCTATCTTATGCATAGGACATAAATCTTCTTAACTTGCTGATTCCTTCCAGAGCATTAACAGGGAATTTTAAGGAAGATACTAATTCATGAGCAACCCTAGGGCATACCAACCAGCAAAAATAACTTACTGGAAGTTATCATATACAGCTGATTTACTTAGAGTATTTGCGTATCTGGATGATTACTATATATGAAGGTTGAATTATACACCTACAATTAGTTTTATTTGTCCACTTTACAACTAAAATCAGATTGATAATTACTGCATGAGCGATGAATAATGCATGGTGGCCCTTTTAAAATCTGCATTTATTTTATACAGATGAATCCCAATTATTTGTGATTCATCTAACATGAAGCAAAACATTTGTTATCCATTTGTTGTTGTTAAGGAGCCAGCAAACAGTAGAAGTCAGGAAGCTCCCACTGCCTTGGTAAAATGGCAGAAAGCAGAAAATGAGAGAATTTAAGGGAAGTCTGCTCAGTTGGATTAAGGCAACTGACGGCAAAATTTTTCAGTGAGACCAGAGCAAATGCCCTAAAGCATCTGGGTAGTAAAGGACTGGGATCAGGGCACACAGGTGAATCCATCAAGTACCGTCTGCACCAGAAACAGAATAAAATAATGTATTTCTTAACATTGTTCCACAGATGAGTGCCCATTTTTAGCCTTTAAATTTTGTCTCAAGCTCCTATACATCTCAAAATGAGTAACTTGTAAAGAGCTGCACAAACAGAATCTGAAGAAATTATTTGTTAGTGTTCTAATTTACCTGTCTGTTCCTGTCCCTTAATGACAAACATCTATTTCATCCAAGCTGCTCTGGAATGGAAAGATTTGGGAATATTCAGGAGTCAGAAAACTAAACAATTTCAATGGGTTACTTTTTTCAGGGCCAAATACATAGCAGAAACTAAAAGATGTCAAACAAATAAAAACATATATATATGTACACTAGACAGAGCATGTTGGTTTATATATAAAACATTTCCTACTCTTTTCTCTGAAACAATAGCTTAATGTCTATGACATTAATTAATAATAAAAAATACCCCAACCCACTAACCCAAACTGAGAAACATACTTTGAATTTCAGTGGTCTTTTTTAAAGAAGCTATTGCATTCATATTGGGGATTTGGTGCACAACATCTTCCGGGAAAGGCTCCAGCTGCAAGAATAGAATAGAATAATATAAATTTTCAATAAACCACAGGGAAGTAAAACAAACTGAAACAATCTAATCCGCAGGAAAAGCTCAGTCCAAGAACTGGTTAACATTTTGCTTGTATCAGTTCTGAAAGTATAGCCATGATTTTGTTTTCTGTATTCCAGCCATGTAATTGAATTCCAAGGGGCTTTTCTATTGGCTGCAAGACTAATCTATGGAGTCTCTGAAGCAGGTGCACGTCTGTGTATTATTCATTAAAAAAATGCTAGTTATTTGTGTAATTTTTGTAGGTTCCTCACAAACCAAATTCCACTGCATCTGTATATGCAGCTGGGCACTCCAAACAAAACCTTGCTGAAGTCACACTGGAACTGAAGTGTGCACTCTATTATCTTTATTTTTCTGTTGTTATTACATCTAACCATCTTACAGATTTTAAGATTTATAGAGGAAAACCATAAAACACAACTGCTTTTACTAGCTTAGCACTGATTTAAAATAAAGTAGTAAATAAAGAATAGTTTTGCAGATCATCAGTAAGAGTTCTCTAAGTACGTTTTTTATAGAATCAGCTGAATATTAATTAGCCAGTTTTAATTATATATTCTTTGAGTAGGACTGTATCATAGTAAATTAGCAGGAGTAAGTGTTCAGGCTCTGCACAGTTGTTTTGCCTGGCAATGGGTAGATATACCAAGTAAAATGTATTTTGAAATTTGTCCACATGTGCTTTTTTGCCTATCTTCCATACATTTTCTCCTAGAAAAAGGGTAAAAGATTGTTGGGCTAAATGCCTCTTCTTTTACTGTAATAACTATATTCTCCTTGGCCTATGCTTAGAATCCAGCCAGTTTTTCCACTTTCCTGCATAGACTGCTAAGGCTGTTACATATAGAGCAACTGTGTCAAGGTAGACAAGGGCGATATCAATACCAATCTCTCTTCTCTAAAGCCAAGGAAGTTCAACCATTGTTGACAGCAGACATCTGTACTGCAGAAAAAACTCCTTTCTTAAGCATGACTGAGTCTGCTTTAAACTAGGTCAAGTGAAGCCCACCCAAGGAGCTTCCTCTGGGAAGTTAATAGTTCAGTAGTCATCATATAGTGTCGTCTGGGTTGCTACCACTGCATTGCTACCCACCAACTAGATAAAATCAGCTTTGATTCGAGTACAAAAAGTGGGAAGTAACTGCAGTGTAGATACTTCCTTAATGGTGCTATTTAAAGCAAGCTCAGCTACAAATCCCAGAACTTCTGGGATCTTACCATTATGATCAGTGGTGAATGCCTGTCAGTGATAAAGACATTGCAAATATCTCCAGTCTTTTGGAGTCCTGGTAACTAAAATGAATAGGACCGTTCATGTCATTATTTCCTTAGAATCCCATATGGGATTGCAGCTGGAAGATTTCCTTGTGGCTACAAACAATAGCACTATGTTTTTCCTCTTTTTCAAATAGCATAAATCACTCCATTCTGGGCAGTGAGCAAGTGTGCATAGAAGTGCTGGTAGGAATTGACTGGGTCTCAACTCTACTTAGGTACCAAGGAGGCCAAACTGCAAAGGAAGATAGTTGCTATCTAATATGTATCATGGATTAGAACAAAGAGAACAGTTACAATAAAGATAATAGTAACAGGTACATTTGCAATTCTTAAACCACATTTACTTCACAATCTTCCAAGGTTACTCTGTTTGGTAACTCTTGCAGGTACTTGGGTAACAACTGTGTATTTATTAAAATGCCCACCAACAGATCAAGCTTGAGAAATTTTAGAACAATAATCTGTATAATAATCTTTGCAATCCATAACTTGTGTTATGTAGATAAATAGCACTTGTTTTTATCATTTGTTATTTTCTGTTTAAAGCAATTTATCATTTGCCCAGGAAAAGGACAAAATCCTGAAGATTTTTTGGCTCTACTGGGTGCAGAAACACAGAAAGGGAAACAAACAGTAGCTTAAGGTTCTGTTTTGACAATTTCCTACTTCCTAAGGCTTTGACACCCAATTCGCTCCCCTGAATTAGGACAAACTAGCTCCAAGCTATAATAGTAGGATTGATAGCACAAGGTATGGAATTGCCAGACTGCAAGATCTGAGACCTGTGTCTTGCTCTGAGTACCTTGGGACTCTTTCTGCAGATGTCTTATACTAATTATTAAGATGGGAGCAACTGATGTAGAGATAGACAGAGGAGACTTCCTATTAAAACATGAATATTTTGCTGCCATCTTAAAAGCTGAATTTTTGCAGGAGTCAAAATATTGTCTTGATTTTTTCTAATATATTAATGAAAACTAATATATTAATATATTAGTTGTGTAATATATTAGTTAATATATTCCTAATATATTAATTTATTTAGCAGTACAAAAATAAATAATTTGAGTAGGTTAAATTTGAATATTAGACATATCAGATGAATATTTAGAAATGGCAGATGTGTTTTCAGAATTCACAATAAGATGATGACTTAGTAAAGAAGTGTCAAACATCCAACAATTATCCCAATCATTACTCCATCCGTTAGCTCTACTAACAGATCTGTAGGTCATTTGAATATAAGAGTCATGATTGGTCATTACTTAACAGATTTTCCATGAAAGTTTCATATTGTATCCAAAGCTCAGCTTCTGCTCTGGAGTTATTCTACCTCCTCACCCTTAGGGATAACCAGACAGAACTTGGATCCTCTTCCATATCAGGGAAACCTTATCAGGCTCCAGAAGTAAGTTCATTACATCATATACCCTGTTCAGTCCACATACAGTACCATTACAAAAACACTGAAGAAATAAAACCAGTGGGTTATGGCAGCTATTTCTATACACTTTGAAACAAGACTGTCTGCGTTCGAAAAAAGGATTTCTGTTGGCAGCTATCCACTGGTTGGATGCAACTGTATAGACTAGGGGTGTCCCTGGAAAATATCAGCAGTTAGACCCAACAGAGAACAAAAGAAATTACTCTACACCTGGCATATATGGCACCATCACCTTCCCTCCTACACTTCTTGGCATTCAAATCATGAAGTTATTAAATCTGGAGGCTAACAGAAAGGAAGCTGAAAAGAGCACTGGAAACACACTGTCAGGAAAGAAACCTTTCAGAGAAGAACAGCTCAAGTCAGTGCAGAAATAACCAAACCACTGGAGAGACAGTTTGGACCAGACACAAAGGTTCATATTTTCAAAGCTTTTACACAGCTGAATTGGGCTTTTGTGCCCAAAGTAGCAAAAGAAAGTAGAAACTGTGTCCACTTATCATTTTCAAAGTAGGAAAAACAATATAAGTGGGCAAAAAACACTTTGGCTGCCAAAGGCTGCCAGAGACATATCAACAAATGTTTGAAGAAGGAATTAACGATGGAAATTTCATGTGTCCAGAAGGTGATCTGAAATGATCATTGGGAATGTGAAGAGAATCTGAAACTACATCAGTCTGTACTGAGCTGGAAAATCTAGAAGATATAGCAATATCTTTATTGTCCATAGCACTGTCATGTTTTAAAGCATCTAGATTAGTCTTATTAGTTGCAAAGTGCAGTTAGAGATAACTGAAAATTGAGGCAATTGCAAGCATAAGGTAAGGAGCATGGAGATTCCTGACAGAAGCAGAAGAAGGGGAGAAGGCAGGTAGGCTCCTCAGTGATGCCTAGGCTGCAGAAGGAAGCTCTACAACCTTACTTTACCAGATAAACTGTGCAAGAAGTATATCAGTACCAAGACTGGGCTTTGATGGTCTTATGGTTGCCTATTGTTATAGAGGATTAAGTTCATAGAACGCAAAGGTCCTTTGTGCTCTTATACTAGCCATCTTCTCAAAGTAGCACTTGCTGTTCATATATAAACACTTCAGGCAAGTAGTTTTTTTTGATCCACTGTTATAATGTGGTACATAAATGAGTCAGTTTTCAGTAGGGAATAGGTTCAAAGGCACAAAGGGTCATTAGCACCTACCAGTCCCTGAAAAACAAGGAATGCCTTGCAAATATGTGACTTTGGAAAAAGAATATTCTCTGTTCCTTTGGCCAAACCACTTCCAGATTAGCACTGCCCACCGTGGGGACTTTGATGTCACCATGCTGACCCATGGCACGTACATTGCTCTAGTTTCCTACTCTAATTCTCTATTTCTGGGCCAATTACTGGACTCTGGGTTTATGCAAGCAGCAGTTGACAGGTGGCTCAGACTCAGTGTTAATTATTTTCTAGTATTAGACTCAGATTAACAATGAGGATGTGAGACTGTGACCAAGTTTACCCTTCAATTTAAAATTGATCCCAGGCCATATTCACTTCCATGAAAATTTCCATTTTGGAGAGAGAAATGCTTACCTGTTCTGGCAAATAGCTTCTTTTTAACAGAGTCCAGGCCCTCTTGGCAGAGATCACTGCAGAGCTGGCAAGCAGCCCCAGATTCACACTGAATTCCACAGAGGAAAATGCCAACTTTTTTTAGCAGGAAAGCTGCAGAGTACGAGCTTTCCACTTAAATTACCATCCCTCCTAAATGCCAGCTCAACAGATTGCAAGAAAGGAGCACATACTTCACACTCTGCAAGAAAATTGTCCAGTATAAGTTTTCAAGCATGCTTGGGAGCCAACCAATCACAATGTTTTGTCAAATTCTGCTTCAGACTGAAATTCAAGCCAGAAGAATATTTACTAGAAGATGTTAAATTTAGTCACTTAGAAATGTTTTTACACTCAGGGCCAAATTCAGCTTTGGCCGCCACAGTCAATGAGAGCAGACATGCATCCTTTGTGTGCCTTTGTTGCAGGGTCCTGCTGGGCAGAGCACACTGTCGACTGCACTTCTCTGTTTCCTCTGTGCAAAGGAGAGCATGACCCCGTCTGTGACTAATTATCACTTGTTACAGACCACGGCATACTGCCGTACCATGTAGCGCTAAGAGCCAATGCCCAGTGTGTAGACAGGTCAGAGGGACCGTGATGTTAGGCGGACTCCTATGTCCCATGGAAATATCCCACCTGGCTTCTTGAAAAGGGGTGGGATGAAGGAAGAACTAAATCCTTAGCTTTTGGCTCAAAGAGTTTTGTGTTTTAAGGAATCCTTCTCATTCTCTCTGGCTGCAGAAGAATCCCCAGCTGAACGCAGTTATGTTGAAAATAAATTGCAGGATTTAGGATACTGAACTCAAGGAAAGTTTATCCCTGCGGGCTTTATAAACCCAAGTAGTGCCTCTTCAAAAGTAATGTAACGGAAAGAAACCAGAACCTATCCTTGCACGTATAGAGCAGCCTTACTCACCACCACCTGGTACTGAACGGCATAGCAGAGGTCGTTATAGCACTGAAGTTAGGATGGACAAAATAGTGTGGAATTTCCATTCTCTGTGACAAAGATCTTTGGGAAAAATCTCAATATTCAACCCAATTTTCACATGCTTTGTGGAATAACATACAAATTTTAACATTTAGTGGTTTACTTAATTGAAGTAATATATATCTATATATATACTTTAAAAATAAGTATATCTGTGAAAAACTCTAGAATTATTTAAACAGTATCAAAGTAAATGAGAGAATTGAATTTTAAGCACAAGAATATACCATCATCTCAGAAATGTTTAGGTTTAAAAGCAAAGTCTCTTTTCTGATTATCTGAATCTATCATTTCCTTTGTTTTCACAGATGCTTTTTTAATGGACAAGTTCTCAAATTATGTCAAGAAAATTCAGGCATATTTAAAGCAACTAATGCTCATTCTGCCAAAAGGATTTCCATGTTTTCATTTTGGATTTATAGGGGATCCAGCTGTTTAATCTCTTCTCACCTCTTAGGAAGATTTCCTTCCAAGGAGATAACCTACAGTGCTCCTAATTAACTCTGCAAATGGTCAGATGGATTTTTCTCAGTGACATGGAAATTGTCTGCTTGTATACAGAAGTATGGACAAGAAAATCTGAGATCTTTAGATCTTTTTTAAAAATAATTTTATATGTAAACTTTCTAATTAATAATTTTATCATGATAACATTTATCCTTACCTTTACACCTGTAATTTCCTTTTTAGCTTTCTCATAATTTAAGGTGGAATTCACACAAGCAAGCCAGATTGAGTCATGTCAGATACCATAGGGTGGCTTGCCTGATCTCCAGTTGCCACTCAGAAAGGTTGTAGATCTCCTCTAAGTTCTATGCTAGATCTAACAGTCATGGGCCAATGTTCTGGCTACTCTAAGGTATCTAAAAAGACACCTCTGTTTAGGGAACTGGGTCTTAGAAGAAACAATTAAGAACAGAAATACCTCCAATCAGAGAAAACTAATAATTATAATCCCATTTCTGTTTCTGTCAACATTTGAAATTACTGTTCAAATGTAGTTCTGCAGAGAAGTTCAGAAGTATTGACCACACATAGATGGGGCTGATAGCTTATTTAAATTCTGAGCTCTTCCAAAAAAAAAAAAAAAAACACCTTTTTAATAGTTTTTTTTGGTTAGTCTTCAAAATCAACAACTGTATGCAGGAATTTCCTGTGCCATGCTCCAATTATTTAAAGAAGATTAACTTGATAGTGTATTTTTTTCCTGGTGGCTCCACTGCATTTGTTAAGAGAAGAGTAAAAATTTATCTTGCTATACAGATCACTGTGCTACAGGCCACATATAACTAAGAGCAAAACATGTCTATTTTGGATGTCAACCTATTTTCCTTCTTTGTGTTCAGAGACAAATAAGGAAAAAAAGGATTTTTCACTTGTGAGTTTGATGTTACCTCTACATATCAAACCAGCTCTCCGTGCAAGTTGAAAGTTGTGGCTAGTTTTGCAATTACTCTTTTTTTTTTAAATGTTATTCTGCTGGTAATGAAACCTATGAAGCAGTGAATTTCTGTATTGACAAGTCCTGGCCAAAAAAAACCAAACCAAAATTTTTCAAAAAAATCCTGCAAAATGTTTATGAATTCTAATCCTCAGCACATGAATAAATAGATCTGACAAACTGCAAAATACCTTACAAAGGTCTTTCCCAACCTTTCTAATTTGAGTTCAATTACATGTGTAGTGTTTAGAAACAGAATTTCATCTTGCCAATGTTTTTAAAGTATGGTTGCACTACATACCATTAATCGTAAAAACGAAGGGCAGATAATAAGTTATAATTATCCTATTAATCACCTATAAAGAATTGCATTCAAGAAAGAATGCATCCTCAAATTAGAATAATTGGTTGTTTGAAGAAAAACTTTTTTCTGTCCTTGGCAGGAACACAATTAGAGTTTGCTGTGCAACATCATTAATATTATGCTTAAATCAAACAATGTATATTCTATGTGCCATGTGGTGTAGATTGCCATAAATCTATAGATGTCAACATATGTGTTGATTTTTAACTGCTAACTAGGTATAAGACTTCCTTATTAGTGTCTGCTTCTTGGTAACATCTTTATTTATTCTTTTAAGCAAACATCAGTTTCTTATGGTAGTGTTGGTAACAACATTCCCTCTGGAATATTTTTCTCTTCTTAGCAGCCACAGCGTATTTTCTATTTCAAATTCTGCTACACCCGACCATTTAATGCATGTCCCTGAAGACAAAGCTGTGAGTAAGAGCACATGAGAATAATGCTTCTTGCATGAGATGTTTCAGGTTATTAATTATGTTCTTTTACAATTGAATTCAAAATGGCTGGGTGGGTATGTTTGTCTTCATTATCAGTTACTGAATTTTTGTCTTTCCTTAAATTTGCTTTGATATATTTTGCAAACAGATAGACTCACAATTTATCTAATTTCCCAGTCTCATGTTATTCTAAAATAAAATTGAAGAAAATCTCTATTCCAGTACACTTATCCCATTCCTTTTTCTTACAATTTGTACTCTTTCTCAGATAACGGCTATTCAGTGACAGCAGAAATAGAAATTGGTTGTGATATAGTGTTAAAACAAAACAAGACATTTTTCACAAATGGGTAGCACCACCAAATGGTCATAACTGGATAGAGGGACCCAGGCACCTGCACAGAGGAAGACACATCATATCTTCAGCATTGTACCTTTTGCATTAGTCCCACAAAGGAGCAAATTTCAGAGAATGGGTTTAGAAGGGCTCTGAAAAGCTACTGATGCCATAACACACCACCACAGGGAAGATGACAGCCAAAAATATCTGCGAGAGTGCACTGGAATGGCAGTTGGTCAAGAAGGTAATGCTGCATTCCCTAAGACTGTCAAATGCCTCAAGCTAGGTTTTTTAATCCATATTTCAGCACCTAAATAAACAGACCAACATTGAGCTGAGCATCAATTACAATAGTGCCTGTCACCACACTGGAAAACTCTCCTTGTGGGACTTGTCAAAGGTGATAAAACCCAATGAAAGCTTTTTTTTGTGTGTGTGTGTGTGTGTGTGTGTGTGTGTAAATGTCTACTTCTTTATATTTCTGAGAATATTGTTGAAAAAGCTATCACTTTATTCATTGCATGTATAATGTAAAAAAAAATAATAAACAAAAAGGTGTTTTTCTCAATGGGTCATAAAGATAAAAAGCACAGGTTAAAAAGAACATTTAGAAAATCTTTCTTATCCAATATTCACCAGAAGACACATATATTCATACAGGTATGAAGTTTTGAAGTGAAAGGGAACTGGCAGATCAGCTTGCAATTTGGCACTAATACACTTGAATGGAGAGATTATATAACTATTACCACTTCCTGTGGGGAAAACAAAGTAATACATTGCACTTTATAACAAGATCTTGCAAAATTCACAATTTATGGTAAAGGCTTTTGCCCTTTTATAAATTATTTTGGCTGTACCTTCAGCAAGCTTATTTTCCTTCTCACCACATTTGTAGGAGAAAAGATATTTTCTAGTGGACAACAAAACCAATTTTCATTAATATGAATGCTTATCTTGTGTTCATATATATGTAAAGAAAACATATTTACTTAGTCTGATAGTCCACTCTCAAAGTTTCAAAGTAAGATGTATGGAGCTTGATGAATCTTGAACACCACACGTAAATTACATACAGATCAACCTGAATCTTCCATTATAAGATAAACCCTGCCTTTTGGAAGTCTTGGAAACATTTTTATTAATGTTTCTCAATTTCAAAACCCTCTGAAATATATTTTTTCACATGCCAGTTGAGTGTCAAAATACTGAAAAAAATGTATCTTTGCTATATCCAGCTCCCAAGACTACCAGATACCTTGCAAAAGCTTTTTTTTTTTTTTCCCCCATGATGGTTGTCTGGAAGGTCTGGTCCTGATAGATGACATGCATACCAATGATGTCAAGTCTGGTATTTAGCACAATATCACCAAAAGCAATTTTGAGGTATTAAATCTTACTCAGAACTGGGAATAATTTAGGTGAACACTAAAGGATTTATATAATCAACTAATTTAGTGGTATTTATCCAAACCAGCTCATCTGAGGTCTGGTTGTTTCAAAGACATGTTGAAATTGCATGGGTTTTATATCAAATGAAAAATAAAAAGGGCTGATGCTATTGTTCCTAAAAGAAAATCAAAGATAGGAATTTCAGTGAACTTAGATCATTCTCTCCACCTACTATGATTTATATTTTACCTCATTTCCTAAAAGGGCGTTTATACAGGCTTCAGATGCATCACAGATGGCAGTAAGGTCATGTCCTCCCTCCAGTGCCAGCACCACACGGCCATCCGCTAGCTTCAGCAATTGCTTGGTTAGGTGACCAAAACCTGGCATTCAAATACAGTAGTGCAAATTGTTAAAGCAAAACAGATATTACTGGCATATTTAAAATCTGCTGTATGAGAATATAGAAAGGTCAAGGATATTGCACAGGGAACATGGGATATATTTAGTTCAGTATCCTGTTTCTGACTATGGCCCACAGCAGATGCTTTGGAGTTAGGTGTATGGGATTTTGTATGAGGCAGATGTGAGATAATACTGATCCCTAATAGCTGGAGATTAGTGGAAACACGAGGCTGTTACCATCATTAACCATTATCAGCCCAGATTCACTTCCTATTTGCATGTCAGCGTAATATATACCCAAGATATTTAGAGATATCTGCCACAACTCTGGTCACTTATGGCATCAATATGACAAATAATATTTGTAGCTATGCTATGATACTATAATTAGTAGTAAATATATTTTTCAAATTAAATTTTTATTTACAAATTTATTCTTCCTTTTTATTTCGGGTTTGAGTATAATGTACAACCATGGAGTAAAAAACAGTAGAAACATATGTAACCTCTTAGCTCACTTTGAAAGTGTTTTTGGAGGCGACACTAACAACTGGATCACTCGCTTTGATTCAAGGTTTTGGTATAGGTTGAAACTGTCCAGAACTTTGTAGATATTTCTGCCAGTATCACTCATTCCTGACCAACAATGTTCTAAGCAATTCTGCACCACAGCCAAAAATGATGGTATTTTGTTTTATGTGGTGACCTATAACTACATAAACACTAACACAATGTTTTCACCTGCGATTCAAGTAATTTTTTTTTTTTTCCATTTTAATGGTAAGAAAAAAATGCAAAAAAAAAAAAGTGAATTTGGAGACAAGATTTTGGAGAGAAATTTTGTGGTAGTTTCCTGAGACAGCTATTGTTTTTGATTAATCTCCTTTAAGTGAGTAATGATAAGTAAAGCTTTGAAACTATTGAAGTTAAATAGCCTTCACATCTTGTTCTTAACTTTTCCACTTGGTCTGTTCCAGTTGCTCTACTGATGATCACTACTCATTGCAGTGCATTTCATAGTCTTAAATAAAACATTTAGAAGGTACCTGCTAAAGCCTAGGGCTCTATGAAGACCAGAAAAATCAACATATTTGTATGATGTTCCAGTGAAGAATAAAAAATTAAAAACTACATAAATTACAAGAGTGTTTTCTAGAGGAATTTTCCAAGACACAGACTTAAGGCTTAATCTGGCAAACAAACAAGCACACAATTGGTTCTGTTTAAATCTTAGGACTTTGTTAAGCAATTATCCAACTCTTTATAGAATAGGGACATTAACGATACCAGGTTTGCTTTAGATATTCAGATAAAAAGAAAAAGAAAAAAAGATCTCTTTCCTGCTTAATCTATTGATGATCACAGAAGACTCCAGGTCAAATATTGTTTTCTTAAGCCACTCCACAATCTTCTACAGTCTCTAAGAACTGCAGGTTTGATTAAGGAAAAGTAACTACACTGTGGTTAAGATTACATGCAGGGCTGAAAAGCAAATAAAATCTTAAACTCTCATTTAAGCTCAACTTTTCCTCATGAAAAAAACCCAACCCTAAACCATCCAATCGTCTCTACAAAAGACCAAATTTAGACAGGATAATAAAAGCAAAGGAAGGAATGGAATGAGGATAACCTTTGATCTTTAGCCAATTTTTACTTTCTTTTACGTACAGGATTTATTTCTGTCTGCATGTTACACATGTGAACTTTGGATTCATAAGAAGAGGGTGCCAACAGCCTAAAGTGAGTCGTACATACAGCATTTAAAGGAAATGAAGTAGAATGAACAGGCACAGACTCCCCACATCTACAGCTCACCCTTTGGGTCTGTGAGAAATCCAACAGCACTTTTAAGACACCATTATCCTCCACATTACACAGCTTCTGTGAAGAAGGAAAAGCTCTACCATGTTTCCCCTGCACATGCTGAAAAATTTGTATGACCGCAAATGTTGCTGCTGCCACATCGTAATTTTCTGAGGTATGTGTAGCAATAAATGTAAAGACTCTCTCAATGCCTTTTTCTTCTTTTAGACAACTGTACATAATATAACTCATAGACATTGTTATAATATTAGTTTGCCTGCTTGGTTTCTTAATGATTTTCCTTGTATAAATGTTATAATAATCATCCCTGGCTGAGTCAGGATCCATGCAATGAGCCATACAGAAAGCATCTTTTCCAACAGAGATCATGGTAACAAAATAAAATGTTGCCAAATCAAATCAACATGATAGGGTTTTTCTTCAGTATAATTGCCCTGACAAAAATAAAGGTGACTTGCTAGAGAGGGAGGAAATAACTTTAGGCAACAGTACCAACACTGCCTGTGACTAAATGAGTTATGGAAATTCTTAACAAAGAAACTTGGATCCCGTGTCACTGCAGCAACCCAGGAAAGATATTAGCTTCCTCAAGGAAATCCCCTGGAGTACAGAGTAACAAAATGGAAAGAAAGGAATCCCAGTCAAGTAATGATTTTAAGATGGGCTGTAGTTCATGCCAAATAATTAAAAAAATCATGAAGAAAATAGTAATAAGCACCAGTAAAAGGATCATTCATCTCCCCTGGTACGAGACCAAGCATATCTTTGATGCCTCGCTGACCAACTCTAAGGTGAGAAAGGAGTCAGACAAGCATTTTGAATTCTGGGTCTTCCAATCTGCATGAATTTCTAGAAATCAGCAGCAGTTCTTGCCCTTCTACTGTGTCTGCTGGCAAGGGTGCTAGCTGCGATGAGGGCTTTAAAAGATGTTTCTGGGTTTGATGTGCCATATTTTATAACTGTATGTTTTTGCAGTGGTGTATAACAGTTATACATTAGTGGCATTTTATAAAAACAGCAAAAGTCCAGTTATAGAATGGAAAGTCATGTTAAAAGATCAGTGCCTGATTTTCAGTCCAGCCTTAAATGGGCATTGCTTCTTCGAGGCTGCAGGTGCTCTTGGGCCATTTAGAATCTGAATGCCTGACTCAATGACAGGCATCTATTAATCAGGGCTTGAAATGGCCCTGGCAGTATCCACAATTACTTGTGTCCATGTACCTGAATTAAAATGTCATATATTAATAATAATTAAAAAAGAAATAGTATTTAAAACTCGAATAATTTCAGTCAGTAAGTGAGAAAAGATTACACACACAGGGCTATTTCTCAAATCTTCTTGATGTGTCCAGTGAATTTGTACTTCGCAGAGACGTAGCAGAACATTTTAAAATTAGGCTCATGCAGTGTGCCAGGAAACAGTGAGCACAGTTTTGTGCCAACTATTATTTTCATAATTTCTGTAATTGAAATGTTAAAAGTACCTGTTTCCTTTACAGATCCAATATTTAGACATCCAGGGTAGAATTTACAACTACACTTAATATTAATTTGCTATGATCCTAGTAACAACAATGATAAATCTTTGAGTTGCACAAAAAACAGCATTAAAACACTAAGTAGTTCTGAAAATCCTACTTACCAAATGGCTTACATTTTCCTGACAAAAAACCTGTGAGTGCACAATTGAACATCTAAGCAAAAAAGGCTAGATTCAAATGGAAGCCATTGTAAACCATGTTATGTATTGGAGAAACATGCAGTGTATGAGCTGTTATCTGACGACTTTTGAAATAAAAATATAAACTTTTAAAACAAACACATAACACATACTCTTTAATTATACCCTGTCCCCTCCTCCAGTACTATTAGCAGAGGATATACAATATTCAGCCTTAGGTAAGAAAATATTCTACTGTTGGAAGGCAGAAAGAGAGAAAGCTAATACTGTATTATACTGATGAGCTAGCTGCCAGCCTGTTATTGGACACAGTGTGCTGATCACTTACAGTACCATCTAAGCAAGTAATTCAGCTTTTAGTGGACTGATCTCTCAGTATAGCATTAAGAGCCCTGGTGGTTGGGGTTTGGTTTGGTTTGGTTTGGGGTTGTTTGTTTTTGGGTGTTTTTTTTTTTTGGTAACAGAAAATTCCCCATGTGCTCCTTTTTCTGCCAAAATGATGTAGGTGAAGCTTCTGCTTCATTTGACTAAAGTCACTGGAGCAACTGTACTCTACCTGGTCTTACTGAAAACCGAGAAAATGTTAAACCCTATAAGAAAAGAACCTGGGGTTATTTCAGTTTCCTTTTTTTTTTTTTTGTTTTTGAGGCATCCTTACCCTGACGACCTGAAATGGAAAGTGGCAGAGAGCAGGTACCAGACTTCTGAACCAGGCCAGTTCCCCTCCGATGGACTCCTCACACAACTATCTTGTCTACTACAGCTAGACGAAGTAAAGCTAACAAGTCAGAATTGTACAGCCTGCCGTTTTGACAATGAAACATTTGAGAATGAAGACAACTTGTGAATGTTATTCTTTTCACATCCTCTCCTCAGCAGACAGGGAAAGGAACCATATGGATGGGGTACACTCCCAGCCAGCAACGCAGCACTCCTTGTTTGTATAAATATGCAAGATCAATATGCAACTTCAGTTTGCTCACCAGCAAATGTGCAAACACCCAGTTAGTGGGGACTAAACCTGCCTCAGAAGAAGACAGACCCCTTCCCTCTCCCCCACTGCACATAAGGAGAGCAGATGTCTCCTGCACAGTAACTTTCTGGGTGACAGCAAACGAAGGAGAGCAGAGCCCTGGCGCTAGCCCTTGCTCAGGGGAGGCAGCTGATGGAGGAACAAGGACACGTCACCAACAAAAAGGTTGGTGAAACTTTGGAGTTATGGATAAAGCCTCAGCTTTCTCAGCCTCAGGAACAGGGCCCCAACAGCTCTTTCAGCTTCAGCGTCTTAAAAGCTACAATTCGACCCTAAATTACAGATTTTTGGTGAGCTCCTCTGGCTACTTGGAGTAGCCTGGAGAGCGATACATGCAAAACACAAAAACTCCACAGACTCTGTCCTGGACCTCCAAGTATGTATTTAACTATTATTTACCATTTAATCATGTCATTACTCTCTAATTTACTTGAGAATGT